GTGGTGATTCCTTATGTAATTGGGAGGGAGTTCACCAGTTATGAAAGGGGGACCATCGAGGGCGCCATGAGGGCCTTCGCCAGTAATACCTGCATCCGCTTCGTGCAACGTAGCAATGAACGTGACTTCATCAGCATTGTAAGCAAACAGGGCTGCTGGGCTGAGCTGGGCAGAACCGGAGGCATGCAGGAGGTCTCACTCAACAGGGGGGGCTGCGTGTACGGCGGAGTGGTCCAACACGAACTCATCCACGCTCTGGGCTTCAATCACGAGCAGACCCGGAGCGACCGCGACAACTACGTAAGGATCAACTGGCAGAACATCATCCAGCAGTCCGCCTACAACTTCCAGAAGCAAGACACCAACAACCTGAACACTCCCTATGACTACTCCTCCATTATGCACTATGGAAGAGACGCCTTTGCTGTGGCCCCCGGGAGGGAGACCATCACCCCTATCCCCAATCCCAACGTCCAGATCGGCCAGAGGCAGGGCATGTCCTCCTGGGACATCAAAAGGATCAACCTGCTGTACAGATGCTAGAAATGTAGAAGAGGAACGTAAATGTTCTGAAAATATTTCAGAGGTTCAGGGGAAAGAATGAATACCTTAAATAGTTGAAATAAAGGCAATGTAAAATCCCATAGTTGTTCTGTTTTTGCTTGGTACCATTTTACAAGTACACAATCTGATTTTGAGCAGGAGTCAATTTATGGCTTGGTTATATAAAAACAAAAGTTCTCCAGACTTATATTTTGGGATTTTCTTTTTTCATTAAGTGTTCTGTTTAGTTTTCATTTTAGTTTTCTCATTTCATTAATGACATTTTCTTTTAGGCCTGATTATCACTTACAATTAGTGTTGCATACTGATACCAGTATCAGACGGGGCCCCAATCCAGCAATAAAATGGTGGTATCGGTATCGGCGAGTACCAACAAATAGGGCACTGATGCCATTTTGAGAGCCAAAAGTTTATTCAACGATTGTCTTTTTCCTGCTTCACAAAGGTAGGCAGCAGCTTGACAAACCATGATGGCAATGATTTTACATCCAAGTAGTCTGCAGTTCTTCATATATACACACACACATCAATTTAAACAGATGGTATCTGTATGGACCGATATTGCACAGCCAGGTATCGGGGCCAAAAAAATGCCATCGGCGCAACACTATTTACAAATAAAGCAAATTCTCTCTGAAAGAACTAAAATAAAATCATCACCTCTAGGGCCCGACCAACCCAAGCTGCTATGTGGCCCTAAGCAAAATACTATTGTTTCGACCTACTAATTTAGCTAATTATGTCTATTTCTGCAATCAACAATGATAAGATCATACACATACATACTATAAACTCAACGCATCTATGTCAGAGCTATTTACATTCTTCAAATTGTGTCCATCATCTAGTGTTTCCTAAATTAATAAAAGAAACTAGTTTATCTAGCCCAGTGATTCCCAACCGAGAGTAATCCTACCCCTAGTGGTCAGTGAGTACATTGCAAGGAGTATGTTAATTCAATTCAATTCAGTTTATTTCTATAGCGCCAATTCACAACACATGTCATCTCAAGCTACTTTCCAGTTCACCAGATCATTCAGTAAAATTGATTCAAAGTTTTCTATCTAAGGAAAACCAGCTGATTGCATCGACTCATTGACTCCAATGCAATACCTCACACTAAGCATGCTTGTAGCGAAATTTGATGATTTTCTTGTGATTTCATGAACGTTCATTAAATTGTAAAATTTCAAAAAACGTATTAAACTACATTTACTGGAAAAAAAACATGAAATATATTGCTAATAAAAGGTTTATATGTAAAAAAAAAAAATAATAATAATAATTTTTTTTGCATATTTCCCTGCAAAAGTTGCAAAACCTAATTCCTTGGTGCCAAGCTTTTATTCTATCAAATGTTCTGTGATGCAGGGATCAGAGGATTCATAGAAAAGTGTCATTTTTTCTTGCCTAAAAAAAGCCAAACACTGCAACTTGAGCCATCTGGTCCTTCTAACTGTTTCATCTTGACTGTGAAACGAACTTCATCTTTTTGTCATTGTTGTTTTAGGGAATCTTGACTTCTTTAAAAAGCAGCTGAAGACATTCTCAAGCAAATTAGCTTTTTTTTCCCTTTATTTTTTCCCTCCAATATTTCAAAATATTGTATTTATTTAATCACATGTTTGATTTAACTTAACACCAAATGGTGGCATAAAAGCACTCGCTTTAAGTAGTTTTATTTTTACTTCTACAGGCTTTTTTAAAATTCTTTTTACCTCAGTAAGGTTGTTGGATCTTACATCCAGTATATGGAACAAAATGGCAGATCCAGACACCAGACCAGCAAGAAAGAGCAAAGAATACTAGACACAAAAAGTTTGGTGCTGTTCACTGTCAGATGGACAGAAGCAAATAGCTGCACATCTGCTGGGCCCCACAGAGTTCATCATTCAGTTTACAGAAGGGAAATGCTGCCCTCTGGTGGAGGTTTGAACACAAACATGTCTCTTGCTCTCTGGCTCT